AGCTGGGCCCATCGAGGGGGTCGATGGCGAGCGAGGGAGGGCACGAGGCCCCCCCGCCCTGCGCGCCCGCCTCGCTGCAAGGGGGCTCGTCGGGGAGGCCCACCCGGTCGCTCGGGTGGCGCGGCGCTTCGCCCGGTCGGCGTCTGATAGAGGAAAGAGATCTATGCACATGCACCGATTCTGGCCAGGCCCATCCTCAGCAAAGGATCGGTGCATACGCCCTCTTACCTTGGCCAGGAAGGTACATGCACCGATCCTGGGTGAAGGATGGACGTTGTCAGGAGCGGTGCACGTGAATAGCTTTCTTCGCCCGATATGAGGGAGAGCTTGGCGTGTCGCGGCGGCAGCCCCGGCGACACGCTACGCCCTGCAAGCGGATCGCGTGTCGCTCAGCTCCGCGGGGCGGGAGGCCGGGGAAGGCTCGGGACGTTGTCGCCTAAGGATTGAGAAGTGGATGGCATGCCGCGCCGAAGCGTGGTGGGCCAGTACTGGCGGAGCGACGCGCTATCCAAAGGTTCCCGACCGTAGGGAGGGACTGACTCGGGGAGAGGAAACGTCGACCTCGAATCGGCGGCACATCGCTGACAGATCCAGCGATGGGCCTCCGGTTGGGAAACTGCACGCTCCTGGGTGGCCTGGGGTGCCCAAGCCCCGACTGGCGATCGATGGGCGATTGGGGGTCGATGTCCCCCCCCCCCCACTTCGGCCAGTCCCGGATCGATGTCGTGGCCCTGCCCGATTGCGATCTCCGGCAGGAGGCCGCAGGTCAGGCGCTCGACCAATCGGCACGCCCGAGATGGGTACGGAAAAACTGTGCCCCATGCCCAACAGAGAATCTGGTCAAAACCGACAGCGGCCGCTGCTGGGCAAGCACCTGTCCGTATCGAACGGGCACCGTCCGTGGCGACGCCGACAGGAGAGCTGCTGTCAATCATCGTCCTCATTTTTTCCGTACTTCGATCGTGCATACGAGCGGACGAACAGCCATACGCCATTAAGCGCGTGGGCAAAAACATTGCGCGCGCATCAGCGCAGCGAACAGTATGCAGTGCAGATTCGTCAAGGGGGGGAAGGGAGGGGAGCGCTCACGTCATATCTGACGTCGTAGTCACCCCTCCCTCCCATCCCTTACCATGGCGTAGATCCCCTCTCTATTCGCGCAGTGGGATGTCGTAGCATGGCATTGCATTACAGGGCATACCATGGTGTTGAAGATCATCGTGTGGCATGACATAGCATGGCGTGGCGATGCCTCAAAGTGGGGGGGGGCTTCTGCGGTCCCAGAAATAAACGAATCGGCACCTAATGTGTAATCATGTTTAGGGGTGTCATTTTCTAGATTTGGGGGCCGATTTGGAAAGACCAAAAACCATGCCGTGGCATGGCACTGGATATAATGACGCCAGCGCTGCAGCGGGAGCACGATTCGGAACGAGCGAAAGCGCAGAAATGAGGCCAACGCTGCAGCGGGAACACGATTCGGAACGAGCGGAAACGCGGAAATGAGGCCAGCGCTGCAGCGACAGCACGATTCGGAACGAGCGGAAGTCCGAAAATGAGGCCAGCGCTTCAGCGGGAGCAACATTTCGAAACAAACACCCTAGCGAAAACCCAACTCCTGGGAATCCTGTGTAAAAAACACTGCGCGACAGGGGTGAGAGGAGAGTAATAATCATATTGTGTAATTTGTGGAGGGGAAGGGGGGGGGAAGGGGAGGTAGGGGGGGAAGGGGGGAGGAGGGGGAGGGGTAGGAGAGGGGAGGTGGGGAGCGAGGGAGAGAGGGGAGAGGCAGGGGAGGGAGGGGGGGAGGGGGAGAAGGGATGGGGGGGGGGAGGGACAGGGGAGGGCAGGGGGGGGGAGAGGGGGGGGGAGCGAGGGAGAGGGGGGGGGAAGGGGAGGGGGGAGGGGGGGCAAACGAGCTGGACCACACCGCCAGGAGTCCTGCTCCCTGCCAGGAGCGTGCGCACGAACCGGGCGCAGGACCCTTCGCCCTGCGACCTGGCGCTGCCGCGCGCTGCGCACCCGCGCTGCCCGACCCGAGGCCCCGTGCGCCGCTGGCGGCCTCCGCCTTCGGCCGCGCGCCCTGGGCCGGCGCGCGCGGCCGCCGCGGGGACGGCGGGCCCTCGCCGCCGCGGCAAGGGCGCGGCTTCCCGACGCCGCGCGGGTCGTTCGGCCTCGAACCAGCCGACCAGCCATAACTGGGGGAGCTGGGAGCTGCGGTCCTTGCCCCCCTGGGGGAACCCATCGCATCGACGATCTCTCGAGAGGGGTGTCGAAACCAATGGGTCCCCCAGGGGGGTAAGGACCACAGCTCCCCCAGTTGTGGCTGGCCTGACCAGGGAGACGTAAGACTCGGGTTCGGGGGGAGGGGCGCGAATTGGCCTGACGGGGCCGTCAGGAAAACAACGAGGCCCAGTCTGAAATCGACGTGAGCTCCCGCCGCAAGAGTCCCGCGAAGCCGTGACCGTGAAGTTTAGGACGGGCCCGTGATGAAGCGTCGGCGAACCCGAGTGCTGGCGAACTCGAGTCTCACGTCTCCCCAGACTGACGGACTGCGGCGTTCTGACAGCGCAATTCTCGCGGTACCTCGGCCGCTGCCAAGGCACTGTTAGAGGCCTAGAACTGGGCACCAACACCAACACAGAGGGTGGCCTCCATAGGGGGAAGATGATCCTAGATTTCGGTGTTGGGGGTAATTTTTTCGGTCACCTTGGAAGCCAGAATATTACCACCATCACCGAGCTCGGGATGTTCTTCCCTCGGTGGAGGCACACCGCCGATATTGGTGCTGGTGTCAACCTCTACACGTCGGTCGGAAGAAGTGGGTAGAAACATGAAGTAGGAAGGCGGATAAAGTGGATTGGGTCCAGGCCCTCCCAGAGAACCACAAAACACAGCAAAATCGTGCCGATTCTTGAGGTAGGAAGGCACCTGAAGTAGATTGGGATCTGGGAATCGAAAAATACCTACTTTCAACGACCGGCGTGCAGGCCTGCGACGCTGGCGCTCAGGCCCGAGCGCCCGCGCTGGGGGGTCACCGCCGCGTCGACGGGGCACGAGCCCGAGGCCGCTCCCCCCGGAGGAGGAGGAGGAGGAGGAGGAGGAGGAGGAGGAGGAGGAGGAGGAGGACGACGACGACGAGCGATGAGGGGTGGGGGGTGGACGAGGAGACGGGGGCAGGGGGGGACTGAGGAGGAGGAGGAGCGAGGAGCGAAGAGCGAGGAGCGAGGAGGAGGGGGGCCCTGAGACCTGAGACCCTGGGCCCCGAGGGACGGCCTCGACCTCGGGGGCAACAGACAACGATCACAACGATCACAACGATCACAACGATAACAACGATAACGATAACAACGATCACAACGATAACGATAACAACGATAACAACGATAACAACGATAACCATAACAACGATAACAACGATAACGATAACAACGATAACAACGATAACGAGGGCACCCCGAGGAGCGGGCCAGTGCTCGGGCAGTGCGCAGCAGGGCCCCCGAGGAGCGGGCCAGGCCCGCCAGGTGGCGCCACCTCAGCAGGACCCCCGAAGGGCGGGCCAGGTCCACTCTCGAGCCCCCCGAGGCGCGGGCCCCGTCGCCCATTCATCGCCGACCAAGGGCCTGATGGCCCACCCCGCCCCAGAAGGTGGGGCTTCGCTGTGGGGCGCCTGTCGACTATGCGCAGGCGATGTGTCGCCGAATCCACGTCGATGCTTCTCCCCCTGAGCTGGCCCCCCTGGCGTTGCCTCTGATCGCCTCGTTTTCGGGTCATGGCTCGCGTCCCCGGCGGCCGCTCGGCGCGGTCTGGGCCCTCCCCGGGAGAGCACTCGGCGCGGCGCAGCTGCTGGAGAACACCACGAGGCGGGAAAACCGCCGGAGAAGCGACGATCACGCCCGAAAACGCCCGAACACCTCGAACTTGCCGTTCGGTCGTAGATCACGGAAGCTTCCGCTCGTCATGGACTGGATGTACATCGGCGGATGGCGCCCATTGGCGCCGAATTTCGCCCGATATCGCTCAGTGGCCCCGAATAGCGCTCGAATGGCGGCCCAAAGCGACCAATCGAACCCAAACGCCCCCCGTACCAGTTCTAAGACGAAGCCAAGATGAGGATAACATCGGGTGAGGATAAATCGAACATCTCTGAGGTCTGGCGGTTCTGGAGGATGTACGGGCGCCGCAGCCTTCTCAGAACGTTCTGGGACGCTCGGAGAGCGCTCCGGAACGCTCTGAAGCTGATTTCTCCTCGTCCTAGCCTCGTCCGAAATGCTCCTCGTGACCCTCCTCAACTCCCTCAAGCGGGTCTGCTATGGCTGTGCGGGCAGCGACTTCTCGCCTGCATGGTGCTGAGGCTTGGGCCCAGTGATGGACAGCAGGCGCCACATGCGCGTCTGTGCCCACGCCCATCCTGCCGATGCAGGAAGCGTTTTGTGCCACCGTCTGCATCATAGCTCGCTCCAGGACAGCCTCGTCGTCCCGAGCGGCTCCTCCTCGAACAGTGCCCTCCTTGACTGCGGAAACGATTCTCGCCATTCAATGAAACGACGGCTGGTATCAGGTGGCGGAGTTCCAGCAAATGTTGGGAACCGATCGTCTCATGGGGTTCCTCCCTTCTCCTCTCGCTCACCAGTGAACGTCGGCTTGATGTCCTCTTGCACCGTCGCGACCTGACCTGACGTCTTCCTTCTCGTGCTCCTGCTCGTTTTCCTCCTTCTGCTCCTCCTGCATCCTCCTCCTCCTCTTCATCTTGATCTTCCTTCTCTTCCTCTTCCCCTCTCTTTGTGCCTCGTGCTCATGCATCCTCCCCCTGCACCTCCCCCTCCCCCTCCCTCTCCCCGTCCTCGTCCTCCTCCTCCTCCTCCTCCTCCTCCACCTCCCCATCCTCCCCGTGGCGCGATCCCATCTGCCTTTCATCAGTCCTGCTCCTTCTCCTGCTCCTGCTCCTGCTCCTCCTGGCCAGTTGCCCTGCTCATGGGGGAGGAAGGGGCGGGACGGGCCTTCACGAACTCGGCGTGACTCGTGAAGCCGCGGTGCGTGGGGTCCAGGACCGCGCGCCAGCCCATCATCAGACTGCCGCTGTACCGCTGCATCAACATCTTCCTCGCGCGGTCTCCTCGGCCTCGTTTCTCTCTTCCTCGCCCGCGTTATCCTCGTCCGCCTCCTCCCTCATCTCCTCATTCTCCCCTCCCCATCCCTCCCATCTCCTCATGTTCCTCATCATGTTCATCCTCCTCCTCCTCCTCCTCCGCCTCCTCCTCCTCCTCCTCCGCCTCCTCCTCCTCCCTCCCTCCTCCTCCGCCTCCTCCTCCTCCTCTCCCTCCTCTTCCTCCTCCTCCTCTTCCTCCTCCTCCTCCTTTTCCTCCTCCTCTTCCTCCTCCTCCTCCTCCTCCTCCTCCTCCTCCTCCTCCTCACCACACCCCATTATGGTAGTCCTTCTCGTCATCTTCACCCTGTTTCTTCCTTCCTGTCCTCTCCTTTTCCTCTTCCTCGACCTCCTCCTCCTCCTCCTCCTCCTCCTCCTCCTCGTTGCGCATTGCTCTTCCTCTTCCTCCTTCGCATCCCTCCTCCAACTCCACATTGCTCCTTCTCCGTTCCTCTTCTCACCTCAGCCCCCTTCCCCTCCTCCTCCTCCTCCCCTCCTCCTCCTCGCCCTCCTCCTCCTCCTCCTCATCCTGCTCCCTCTCCTTCTCCTCCTCGTCCTCCTCCTCTTTCCCATTATCCTCCACCTCCTCCTCCTCCTCCTCCTCCTCCTCCTCCTCCTCCTCTCTCTCCTCTTCGTCGTCGTCGTCCTCCTCCTCCTCCCATCCATACCCCTCCTCCTCCCCCTCCTCCGGATCCTGAACATCCTCCTCCACCACCTGCTCCCCTCCAGCGCTCTCCGCTCGCGCCATGGCCCCAATCCGCGGGCCCAATGCAAATACACACACCTCCCGAGCCGCCGGCCGGCTCGTGAACGCCCCTGCGCTTCAAGAGGCAACTGGCCACAAGTGAGCGCCGGCTCCCAGGATCCTGTCATAAACGGGCGACCGGCGTCGACGTCTTGGGTCAAAATTGGTTATCCTGATGGGCCTGTTCCCCACCACCACTACCATAAGTTTGAGGGAGGAAGGAGGTGAAGGACAAGGATGACGAAGAGGAGGAGGAGAAGCAAGAGGAGGAGGAGGAGGAGGAGGAGGAGGAGGAGGAGGAGGAGGAGGAGGAGGAGGAGGAGGAGGAGGAGGAGAGGAGGAGGAGGGAGGAGGAGGAGGAGGAGGAGGAGGAGGAAGAGACCCCCTCCCACTCCAGCTTTTGGTGGGTGTGGTGGAAAGCAGGCCTATCACATCCTCACACTGGCCCTCGCGCTGCTCCTACGATCTACGAGGTACACATCTCGCACCCGGGCGCGTTTGCGCCTTGGGCGACGCGGCTGCCCTGCTCGCCCCGCCCGACGAGGCGCCCCAGGGATGACTTCTGAGGCCCGCCGAGGCTGGAAGCGTCCCCGCCCCGCGGGGGAGGTGCGCGCGGGAGTGCAGACCGTGCTCGGTTTTGCAGGAGGAGGAGGAGGAGGAGGAGGAGGAGGAGGAGGAGCAGGAGGGGGAGGGAGGGAGGAGGAGGAGGAGGAGGAGGAGAAGAAGGAGGAGGAGGAGAAGGAGGAGGAGGATCAGGAGCAGGAGGAGGAGGAGGAGCAGGAGCAGGAGCAGGAGGAGGAGGAGGAGGAGGAGGAGGATCACCAATTCTGACCCGAACGGCCCGTCGATAGTGACCGGTCGGCGTCGACGTCGGAAATCGTGGGCTCCTGTCGGAAGCGGGTGACCGGGCCATGCTACGGTGGAAGGTGGGGGATGGGTAGGGAGGGATCTCCTCCTCGCGAGGTCTCCAGAGGTCTCCCGAAACGTCCAGAAGTCTCCAAGGAGTCCCCAGGAGGCAGAACGTTTGCGAAAAACGTCCGCCAGACTGGATGCTCCTCGCATTGCTACACCCTCCACGATCTACCCTCCTCCATAGAGGGAGAGAAGGAGAGAGAAAGAGTAGGGAAGGAGGTAAGAGATGGCGGGATGGCGAGGAGGAGGTCCTGAGGGCCTCAAGCCCGTTCGGCTTGCTCACCACCAGAGTCCTTTCGCAGAGGGGGGCCCTGGCTCCCACGGGGACGAGGGCGAGAACGAGGATAAGGGTGGGCAAGGGGGTATGATGACGATGGGAGGAGGACGAGGACGAGGGGATCGAGGACATACACGAAGCAGAAAAGGATGATGACCAAGAAGGGGGCAGGATGAGGATGGGGCATCGGGGAGGAGCAGATGCTGGTGAAGGAGACGATGAACATTCAGATGGTGAGGACAATGAGGAGGAGGGGGAAGAGTGCGACCACGGCGACGTGGCGAAGGAGGCCTGCGAGATGATAACTACGATAGTGACAACGACGATGAGCAACTGAGCACACACACATATATATATATATATACATATATACAGATCTGCCCATTTACATGCACGTCGTAATGCATTCATACATTTTCATGGTGTGCATCGCTTGTCCTCCTGCATATTTCGTATGCGATCCCGTCACATGAAATCGGCAACAACAAATACGCACATAGTGCTTCAGAGACGTCGGACCAACAACGCGCACTCAAGAAACATCGAACTCACACCCAAGAAATGCGTCGGCCGGGGACTGCAACGAGATCGTTCCGCTGATGCTCCCTGCCGAACTCGCACGCGACGTGATTCGACAATCAACATCACGGCTGGCACTTCTGATGGAACCGAAACTGATCAACTGTAAGTTCGCGTGAGGTGGGTAAGCGCGCGCAGAAGCTTCCAGGCTGAAATCCTGCTGGCAAGCGTGCGTTGGATGAACACCCTTTCGATCGAGAGAATGGCCTTCTGTACACCGTGCTCCGAGCGAATGAACGAGAAAGAAAGTCATGGTGACCAGACGTCGTGGAGACCACCCATAAGCAACTTCGACGGCAAGCACCTCGAATAATGAGATGCTGGTTGAACGACCCTACGAACTGCATTGCACGCACCCCAACTGGTCACCGCGTCCGTCTCTAAAGGCAATGCGAAGTCAATGCTGAGTTTGCTATAAACCTCAAGCCACTGGCCGACGCTGGTGCGACTCTCGCGTTCGAGAACACAGGTGCTCCAGACGAGCTCATTAGTATGCCACGCAAGCATGCCGACATACACAATTCACACACTCTGGGTGTCATATCATAAACAGCTGCTCATATTAAACACTTAACAACCGAGAGGATAATCCGGCAACGCGTGCTAACGATCTTGCGCCCAATGTGGGCCCTCCTTTAATACTACTACTACTACTACTACTACTACTACTGCTGCTGCTGCTGCTGCTGCTGCTGCTGCTGCTGCTGCTGCTAGTACTACTAGACTACTACTACCCCTACTTCTGCTACGACTACAACTACTACTACTGATATTACTTTTATTATTCTTACGACTACGACCACCACTGCGACGGCCTACTACTACCACCGCCACTACTACTACTACTACTACTACTACTATTGCTACTACTACTACTACTACTACTACTGCTACTACTAGTACCACTACGCTTCCTAACACGACTACTACAAGTCGTATTACCACTACTACTACTACTACTACAAATCTTGCTACTTCTTCGAGTCGTACTAGTACTACTGCTACTACTGCTGCTTCTACCACTACTACTAATTATACTACGACGGTTACGGCAACTACTACTACTACTGCTACTACTACTACTACTACTACTACTGCTACTGCTACTACTACTACTACTACTACGACGACTACTGCGACTACTATAACAACTACTACTATGACCACTACGATGGCTACTACTACTACCACCACCACTACTACTACGACTGCTACAACCACGGCTACTACTCATACCACAACTACCACTACTACTACTACCACTACTACTAGTTGTCTTACTACTAGCTGTCTTACTACTACTCCTACTACTACTACTACTACTACTACTACTACGACTACTACTACTACTACTACTACTACTACTACTACCACTGGTTGGTACTACTAGTTGTCTTACTACCATTACTACTACTCTTACTACGGCTGGTACTGCTACTACTACTACCACTACTACTGCTACTATTACTACTGCTACTACTACTACTGCTACTACTACTACTACTACTACGACTACCACTACCACCACTACTACTACTACTACTACTACTACTACTACTACCACTACTACTACCACTACTACTACTACTGCTCATACGATTACTACTACTACTACTACTACTACTACTACTACTACTAGAACTCGTGCTACTACGACTCCTACTACTACCACTACCACTAGTACTACCACTACTTCTACTTCAACTTCTACTTCTACTTCTACTTCTTCTTCTACTACTACTACTACGGCTACTAGTGCTACTGCTGCTGCTGATACGAACGACGGCTCCTGCTATTACCACTAATACGATCCGATTACACATGCGAAGACCATGGCGAACATCAAAGGGACACGAGTAGGGACAGAAGGCTAGTGGATGTGAGGATATTGGTTTGGGAAGAAAGATAGGGGTGGGGATAATACGATCAGGGTGATAAAGGATACGATCATAATGCGAAGGATAAGAAAGCAACGTGCGACGACGGGAGACAACTGGAGACAACAAGAGACAACGGGAAAACAACGGGAGGCAAAACACAACGACGGAAGACACTGGGAGACATTGGGAAACAACGGCGCCTCACCGATTACAAATCCGGGTCGCCCGGCACTCGGTTTCTCAGAAACAAAATGTATTTGTAGGACCCTCACGGGAAAACCTTCTAGGGAATCATCGAATGTGTAATGCGAACAAGCGCCTGGAACCCGAGAGGTTGAACCGCTTGTCAATGGATCTCTGGCACCCCCAAAACTCAACGATCTCAGAGGTGGCGCCGTTCGAAGCGATGAACTACGAACACAGTCCGAGTTCCTTTTTTACAAGAGGGAACGCGACCTCTGAAACGACCACGATCGGCTCCTGGGTGCATGACAACACCGTGGTTGCTCGCTCGGTGTTTCCCGACATCGGACGGTACCCCTGTCTGTGCCTCCCCCCGCCGCCTTCCGCACAGTCCGGCCGCTGCCGTGACGAAGGCCACGGGACGAACCTCCAGCGTTTTGGTCCAAGCGACCGCCCCGCTTCGCGGCGGGCGTCGCACGCGCAACGCGCATGGCTATCACGGGTTCCTCTCTGGGAACCGGACATCGGCGGTGGACAAACCTCCCTTTCGCAAACCTCCCCTTAGCGAAAACGGCCTGGGGCCGAAACCGACGCACCCGGGCCCGCAAGAATGACGGCCGCGACGCCCCCTCGCGGGCCGAAAACGGCCGATTCGCTAATCGACGTGTCAGGGTAGGAGGCCTATCCACCCCCGGGGACACGAGAGCAACCTTGGACTACACTGGCAGCTTATCCCGAGTTGGAGGACGAGGGGACGTTAGGACAATGCGGTGACGCCCCAGCTCGGCCTGCCTCTACGCGCTCCAGCTCAGGCAGCGTGCGGGTGGCCAGGATGAGCCCTCCGCGTGCACACACCGTTTGCTCCTCCTACAGCTGATTCTCGGCTCCATCCGCCTCTTCCTCCTTCTTCTCATGTCCATTGTTTTGATTTTCCCCCGTGGAGCCATGAACGAACAGCTTCTGGCCTGCGCCTGCGCCTGCGCCGCGCCATGACTCCACAGCAGTGGAGGCTGACCACAAAACAGGCGGAGTCTTGCCGCTGCGCTGACCGCACAGCGGCAAGCTGGCACGCAGAGCGTGCCAAGAGCGGCGAGTGCAGAGCCGCAAAGGTAGCCACTCTGGAGGGCTTCCCATCTTCCTGGTCCCTCTTTCCTCCGCTAGAGAGGATCAAACAACTGCAGGGACATAAACTCTCGGAGCTCCGCGCAAATTTCCTGGATCGGCGCTGACCCCCCGTCCTCAGGGCGCCTCTGGCGCCATGGGCGGCGCTGGGGGCGCCGCGTGGGGGCACCCAGCGCAGGCCCGCGAAATCCGCGCCAACCTCCGACAATCTATGCTCACGCCGCTTTTTCGAAGTCGATCCCCCTTTCTCTTTTTCTCCCTCCCCTCCTTCCCCCCCTCCTCCTGCCCGTCCACCTCCTCTCCCTCCTCCTCTCCTCCTGCACGTCCACCTCCTTCCTCCTCTCCTCCTGCCCGTCCTCCTCCCTGCTCCCCTCCTGCCCGTCCTCCTCCCCTCCTTCCTCCTCTTCTCCTGCCCGTCCTGCCCTCGCCGTTCCCTCGACGCCTGCTGCTCCACACCGTCCCTCCTCAGTGCGGCCGCTGGCCGGGCCTCTCGTGATGCCTCCGCGCGCTCAGCAGGGAGTGCTTCGTGAGCATGCCGGAGCCGTCGTCAAGGATGTCGAAGATCCTACCGGCAGGACGCGAGCTGCAGTCATATAGTGAGGAGGCACGATACGGGATGCAGGGGCCCTGGCAGGCCATGCCGACCCCCTGCGAGCGGGGCGCGGCCAGCGGAAGCGGCCAAAGATGGGCCGAACGGGGAAACAGATAGACCCCCTACCCGGCGCGCGGAGCGCGCCAGGGGCGGCGATGGAGGCGCCGCCGAGGGGGTGGGGGGCCAGCGCGGATTCAAGAAATCCGCGCGGATCGCCAAAAGTTTATGTTTATGCCGTTCGTTCTTCTTCGAGGAAGGATGCGAGGATCACCTCGGAAAGCTGCTCATCCTTACCCTGCGGGCTGACTGTCGACTCAGGTCGGGCATGTCCTCCCACAGGCGGGTTTGGGGCGAAAAATAAGGAATGCCCCAATAATGCTCAAAACAAGTCAAAAACATCGTCCCCATACTATCTTTTTCCCAACCATCCTGTGGTGTTGGGTCTTCGTTTTGAAGAGACGGTGCCCCGCGCCTCCTCCTCCCGCTGCCCCCTCCCTCCTCCCTCCTCCCCCTCCTTGCCTCTGCTCTCGGCACACCCCTCAGACGTTTCGTAGCCCCATAGGGAGCTCCACCGAAGGCCCCAGTGGTTGCTCTCGCGTGCGGTTCCCCCGCCCAGGTTAGCGTTTCGTGGCCCCATAGGGAGCTCCACCGAAGGCCCCAGTGGCTGCTCTCGCATGCGGTTCCCCCGCCCAGGGCAGCGTTCCGTGGCCCCATAGGGAGCTCCACCGAAGGCCCCAGTGGCTGCTCTCGCATGCGGCTCCCCCGCCCAGGGCAGCGTTTCGTGGCCCCATAGGGAGCTCCACCGAAGGCCCCAGTGGCTGCTCTCGCATGCGGCTCCCCCGCCCAGGGCAGCGTTCCGTGGCCCCATAGGGAGCTCCACCGAAGGCCCCAGTGGCTGCTCTCGCATGCGGTCCCCCCGCCCAGGGCAGCGCTTCGTGGCCCCATAGGGAGCCCCACCGAAGGCCCCAGTGGCTGCTCTCGCATGCGGTTCCCCCGCCCAGGCCGCGTTTCGTGGCCCCACAGGGAGCTCCACCGAAGGCCCCAGTGGCTGCTCTCGCATGCGGTTCCCCCGCCCAGGGCAGCGCTTCGTGGCCCCATAGGGAGCCCCACCGAAAGCGACAGCCACAACGCGCTACGAACAAGATTTTCAAATCTGTTTGAAGGTTCCTGAAGGGGAACTGTGACACACAAATAAATACACACAAATAAAAATATCCCCTATATTTTCCCATATTTTCTGGGTCCTTGTCTTCCCCCCCTACTTCCCATATTTTCCCATGTTTTCTAGGAATCGCCGATTAAGTGTGTCTGTGTGTTTTTTCCCCTCCTGAGTTCCCCCTGTAGGGGGACATGCCCGACGGAGCTGCAGCCCGTGGGGGAGCACGCGCGGGGGGAAGCACCCGCCGAGAGAGACCACGGCGGCCCCGAGGGGGGGCCCGGGGACGCAATGAAAAAGAGGAGGGGCGCCGCGAGATCTGGGGAGACGTCATGGCCCCCGCCGTGAGATCCCCACCCTAAAACGACGCGAAGATTGGGACAGAATCGGATCGGGATAACTCGAAATCTCTGAGAATCGGCGGGTTTGGAGGATGTATTGGGCGCCGCGGCCGCTCCAGAGCGTTCCGGAACGCTCTGAGAGCGCTCCGGAACGCTCTGGAGCGATTAATCCCGATCCTAGCCCTGTCTTACACCCGCCCTGGTCTCTCGAGACGCAATGAAAGAAGGAGGGGCGCCGTGAGATCTGGGGAGACGTCATGGCCCCCGCCATGAGATCCCCCTCCTGGTCTCTGGGGACGCAATGAAAAAAGGAGGGGCGCCGTGAGATCTGGGGAGATGTCATGGCCCCCGCCATGATATCCACCCCCCTGGTCTCTGGTTGACCCAACAGGGGGGGTCCAGCGACAAGGGGGTGGTGCAATAGACTTGGTGCCATAGATTTGTTGGGTTGCAGTACATCTGGGGCGGGCAATATAGTCCGGGGCGCAAATGTACTGCTGGGCTTTCGCGTGCAATACATTAATTGCAATACAATGCAATACAGTTCTCTGGCGCAATGCATTTGCAATACAAGTGCCCAACATCTATTGCACCATCCCCTTTCAGCTGGACCCCCTTTTGGGCCACAAGGATAGTCATCCCCCGTCCCTCCTGGCCATCGCTCGGACGTCCATTTCCTGTGTTTTTTTCGGTTTCGTGCGTGGCTTTTTCACCAAATGATCAGGGATGCTCCTCGATGGTCCTCGCCGAAGGAAAAATGCACACGTCCGAGCGATACCAAGCCTCTTGGCCGCCCCCGATTACCACGCGGGCTGACGGCTGACGGGGGGGGTCTCCTGACCCGGGTCAATCCAGACCCGGGCCGGTCAGGCCCCGCAAGATCCTGCACCCAAACCCGGGTCAATGCGAAGGATCCTGCACCCAAGCCCAGGTCAATGCGACCCTGTCCCTGCAGGATCATGCAAGATCCGGCGCTCTGGCTGACCCCCGTTCGCACTGACCCCCGTCTCTGGAGCCCCGACAGAAGAGGGTGGGGGTCTGGCTCTGGACCCCTGCTCAGTGCGACTGCTTGCAGCAGGGGCGTGCATCATGGGGGGAACCCCGGCTGCTTGAGACAGGCGCCAAAAACACAGCCAAGATCCACTCAATGGAGGGTCGGGAATGGACAGAATCTCCATGAGTAAAACGTGGTCTAATGAAAACGACGGCGGGCCCAAACCCGGCGGGCGCAAGCCTGGAAAATGACGGCCGCGGCGCCCTCTCGAGAACCGAAAACCGTGAAAACGGACAACTCACTAGTCGACGTGTCAGGGTGGGGGTCTCTGTCCACCCCCGGGAGGGGGAGGGGGGCGGGGTGCGAGGGCCCGCGCCGATCGGCAAAGCGACGAACGAGACAACGATCACCACGTGAGGCCCAGGGGCCGAATTTGGGCGGATGCGGGCTGGGCGGGAGCGCCGCCGATGGCTCGAGTAACTGGCCCTCCTCCCAACCCAAAAATTGAGCAGGGACCGACCGTCCCGGCATTCCCATAGTCATACCACGGAATGTTCGTAGAACCCCAAAATGTTCGAAGAACAAAAACAATGTTCCTAGAACATAAGCCCGGTGTGTTAAAACAAGACCGTCCCAGCCAGAAATGTTCTAAGAGCAGTTCGTGGGAACCACAAAAGGTTCTTAGAACATTATTTGGTGGGCTATAGGCGAGCCGGGACGCTTCGCCACTGGTTGAGAAAAGAAGGGGGAGCGTCGCTCTCGGCACGCCGCCCCGGCCCCCGTGCTGCTCGCCGTCGCTCGGACGCCCACTCTCCTCGTGCGCGTGTCTCGGTTTCTCGCGCGTGTGTGCACAGGCGCGCTCCGCTACTCGCCAATCAACTGCTCGCAGATTGCCTGGATCCGCGGCGGGAACCTCCCGATATATTACACTAGAACCACGCGCGCGCTTCGCGCGCGCTTAGGTTCTAGCTAGGATCGTCACCGTCGTCATCATGAACATCACCATCGCCATCATTCCCCCCGCCAGGGCTAATGTACATCGTTTCTGGATGCTTCTGGCCGGAATACGAAAGGAGTTTCTGTAGTTAGAGTCTCTGGGGGAAGTCGCGGGGCCCCTCAGGATACTTACGGATGCCTCTGATAATCCCCCAGCGTGCCCCACGAGATGGCCAGAGGGTGCCCGAACAGAACCCGAGGACGTCGACGACGGCGGCGATGAAGACGGCGGCGATCGCGGCGACGAAGGTAGCGGCGGTTGCCACGGGTGAGTACCCAATCAGAGCTTGCCTCTGTAAGGGTCCTGGCGGATTAAAAAACTCGATGAGGTTCGGCAAGATTCCGGCACCATGCGGCCGGGCCTGGTGCCCGGGTGCCCGGGTGCCCGGTGCCTGGGTGCCTGGGTGCCCGGTGCCCGGGTGCCGGGGTGCCTGGGGGTGCCCTATCGCCCTATAGCCCTGTAGCCCTATTGCCCTATAGCCGTATAGCCCTATAGGACTATAGCCTAATAGCCCTACATCCCTATATCCATCTCACCCTTTAGCTCTATAGCCCTCTGATCCTATAGCCCTGTAGCCCTATAGCCCCATAGCTCTACAGCCCAACAACCCTATAGCCCAATAGCCGAATAGCCCACATAGCCCTATAGCCCTATGGCCCTAGCCCTATAGCCCTACAGCCCTATAGCCCTGTAGCCCAATAGCCCTGTAGCCCAAGTCGTTTTAATCCTGAGTCGTTTTCTGACGGTCCCGGGAACCTGCGAGGGGCCCCGGAGGCCGAAAATTAACAAAAACCGCCGTCGTGATTTTTCCAAGACGTCGGAGGTCCAGGTCGTGCTTCCCGCCTCCCCAGACCTCCGACGTCGTAATTTTTGCGACCTCGGGCCCAGGAATCGATTGGGAAAACGCACATGGGAAGGCAAGAAATGATGGACCCATCATTTCGTACCTGTGCCTTGATCAGTGGGACGGGCTTCGCACCGCCGCACATCACAAGACACGCTCGAGCGGATCCAGCCGTGGCGACGTCGGGGACTGCAGAAGTTCGCAAGGACACATAATGTGAAAGGAAGAGAGAGAAAGAGAGAAAGAGAGGGAGAGAGAGACAGACAGACAGAGAGCGAAGGAGAGAGAGAGAGAGAGAGGAAGAGAGATGGAGAAAGAGAGAGAGAGAGAGAAACAAAAAAAAGACAGAGAGAGAGAGAGGCAGAGAGAGGAAATGGAGAGGAGGCGAGCTTGAGTCAACGAAAGTCGCAGGGAAGGGGGCAGGGGGAAGAAAGCCAGAGAGCGCTGAAGGATACAACTATTGGAACCCTCTTGGGATTTTTTGGGGGGCCTCGTCCGGCCGCTCGCTGGGAGTTTGACGTAGCTTCTCGGGAGCCTCTGAACCTGTCGGAGGCCTCCTGGAAGCAGGTTCGAAGCATTTTGGGGGCCGATTTGGAGCTTCTCGGGGCCTCCTTTGGGCCTCTTGGGGGTCTCCTGGGACCTCTTGAGGGCCCTCCTTGGGGCCTCCTGGCGGCCTCTTGGAGCGGAAGGCTCGAGCTTGCGGTTCGTGGTCCCCCTCTGGGCCCCCTCTTGGGCCCTTCTTGGGGCCCTCTTGGGACATCTTGGGCGCCTCTTGGGCCGTCTTGGGGCCCTCTTGGGCTGTCCTGGGGCCCTCTTGGAAGCTTCTTGGGCCGTCTTGGGGCGGTCTTGGGCGCCTCTTGGGCCGTCCTGTAACGTCGGAAAGCCCAAAAGGCAACTTTGTGAAAAATGTACGTTTTACGGAGGGAATGGGCCAATTTTTGCGTTTAGGGGCCCTCTGGGGGCGCATGTTGGAGGCTTCTTGGGGCGTCTTGGGGGCGTCCTTGGACGTCTGGAGGCCATCTTCAGCATCTTGGAGCCCTCTTGGAGGCCTCTTGGAAATTGCTTGGGCCGTCTTGGGCGCTTCTTGGGCCGTCTTGTCTGACCGGGAAAGCCTCCGGCAAGCCCCGACGAGCCTCCGGGGCCCCCGGAACCCACATTTGTGGTCGGGGCGCCGGCCCCGGGCCCCTGGACCTGGTCCCCCGTTATATGTATATAAGGAGGAATTGGAAACGCCCAGGGGTCATGCTCTAGAGGCCTGCACGGAGGCGCGGAAAAGGGGGCGCTGGGATGAACAAACACAAATACAGGTCTTCCTCTAAGAGGAAGACCTGTACCTTTCGGAAGTTTGCGAGTGGGCACGTCGCGAGTAGCGGAACGCGCTCGGCGGGTGTAAAGGGCCCAACATGCTCCCCCTGAGGGTGCATGCCAGGGAGGAGGAGCACACGCGTCACAGCGATGCCGAGGCTTCCGCCGCAGCCTCGGTGGCGTCCGCGCCGGCCTCGGCACGCCTCCGTCGGCGCCAGGGGAGGGGGCCCGCCCTGCCGCTCTTGAGGCGTGAGCGGCACCACTCCTCCGGACCACTGGGCGGCGACGGGAAGCGGGTCTCAGCGTCGGGCCCAACAGTAGGTCGGGCCTGTCCCCCTGCAGGGGGATTTTGGGCAAAGAATTAAAACTACCCCGAAAATGCGCAAGCAATGATCCGAACTAATCCAAACATCGTCCCCAGACTATTCTTTGACTATTTTTTGAATATCCCTCCTGTACAGGGACAGGCCCGAGTTAAACCTAACAGCAGGAGCTCGACCACAAGAGGCCTGCCACAAGAAATCCAACCCTGAGACTCCAGGACGTCCGTTGCTTTTTGGTCGCCTGGGTTTCCACTGTAGGCCAAAAGAACATCCTTCAAGAATGTGAAACCCTCCGCTGGCCAAACAGAGGAGCATTCGAGGGCACCCTCCCCCTGGGATGAACGAGGACATCCAACAATGCCAGAACACACAGACCACCCAAACGTACCCGCCCCCAGGATGCACAAGAACATCCAACAAGCCCGACGAACACCAGGGCACCCTCCCCGAACCGACCTCGATCTTATGCCTCGGGCCGGCTGTCCGCGAAGAGGCACAGCGACCTGGCGCGGTGTCTTACGCGGGCCGCCAGCGCGGCACGCCACATTGGAGACGAGAGTGCCTGCGCGCGACCTTACGCGGGCAACTTGCGCGCGAATGTCGGTGAAGGCGACCCCCCTTCCTTCTGCGTCGTTGAGAAGCGGCCGGCCTCGACTGGCTCTCGTGGGGCAATCTTGGCATGCCTTTACGGCCCTGCGGGCCGGCCAGAGAGGCGAACACGTGTAAAACGAGGTCACATTGTTTCACGCCTTGCCCATACTCGCCGTTGACCTCGTGATAGCGTCCAAGACGGCCTAAAAGCCCTCACGATAGCTCCGAGAGAGCTGTCGAGGCCCCCAAGAGGTATCAAAGACCGGGACCTCGAAGGGGCTATGGGGGACTCCAGGCCTCCAAGCGGCCCCCAAGAGGGCCCCAGGGGCCTCCAAGAGGTCACCAGGAGGCCTCCAAGAGAGGCCTTTCAATCGACCCCAAGAAATCCCTAGCCTCATGTCCACGGCCCAAGCACGGTGGCGTGCTGGGGCAACGGGCTCTCGATGCGTCGCCGCCTTTTGCTTGCTAACGGGTGCTTGGCGTGCCGAATTGCTTGTCGATCACCTCTTGGCCATTCCAGAGGGTTCCCAAAGGCCTTTGGCGCAACCCGCTGGCAACCCGAGGAAACGTCAAGACAACTCGCCTCCGAGATGACCAGGATGGCCCCAAAGACGCCCAAGATGGCCCCAAGAGGGTCCAAGATGGCGGCAATAAGCCTTCAAGACGGCCCACGATGGCCCCAGGACGGCCAAAGATGGCCTCAAGACTGGCCAAAAGACCTCCGAAGACGGCCCAGTAGGGCTCCCCGATGCCTTCCAGACGCGCTCGACGAAGTGAAAATCATTATTTAAGCGGGGGGGCGTGCACAAGGATGAGGAAAACGAGCGGGAGCGGGAGGGTGCGGACGAGGGGGGGATGAGGCGTCGGGAATTGGCAGCTGGCAGAAGCATTCATCCTGCGGGCATGGTGGGCATCATGCCGTTCCCTGGGATCAGGGCCTCAGAGGTGGGGGACAAGGGGGCAAGCATGATGGAGAAGGGATGATGTGCAGGACAAGTGTGAGGAAGAGGAGGAGGAAGAGGAGGAGAAGGAGGAGGAGGAGCAGGAGGAGGAGCAGGAGGAGGAGGAGGTTGATGATGAACATGATGAAGAAGATGCGTATGAAGATGATGATACTTCAATTCAAGTATCCCATCGGCATCCGTTGAAGTAAGAAGAAACAATAGCACGGCGGACCCGTATGATCGACAATGATGGAGAAGGGGATGAGGGCACACAGAGAAAATAACTCGCCATCGCTAGGACGTCCATTCTCCGTGCATTGTTTAGTTTCGTGCGCCTAGTTTTTCAAAAGATGAGCCAGCTCCTCGATGGTCCTCGCCGAGACAAGATGCACACGTCCACGCGATGCCAAGGCACGGCATGGAGGACACGCAGGCGTCCGTCCTGCGGGCCTGGGGGCCCATCTTGCAGTCCCAGGGGATCACGGCGTCGAACGTGGGCCAGTCCATGCTGTCGCTCGCCTGGCGTGGGCACCGCCGGGGAGGACTGGTGACAGGCGGGGGGGGGGGACCAGCAGGAGGGGGGGGGAGAAGATGGAGGATCACAAAGCTCGCTATAGGCTTAAGAGGTACCTGAACCCATCTTCAGAGATGAAGCGATCATGAGCGAACTACTGGAGACTGTTGGGCAACTTACGAGGGAGCCCGCTACCCAAAAAAAACAGGAGGAGATGGAGGAGGGAACATGAAGGTGCGCACTCATCAAGAGAGAAGACAGCGTTCGCGTCATATCTGACATCCTGCCCCCGAAACCCGTCCCTTCTCATTGTACCGAGTTCTTTGTAGCCGTGGGGTGTCCTAGAAGACCTGGATTCCCCAAGCGACCCCGTCGTGTGGTGCGCAGTCAAATCGCAGGATTTCGTGTATTGGAGAAGGAGGGGGCGGCGGCGGATGGTAAGGAGGATCAGCAGGTGGAAGGGGAGGGGAAAGGGAGGATGAAGAAAGATGAGGATGAGGCGGACAACAGTCGGCAACAGCAAGATCAGGAGCAGTCGTAGGAAAAACAGCAGGAGCAACGGAACATGCACCAACAAGAAAAAATGGGGGCGGCAACGGCGAGGCATTGACCCGAGCCAGAGACGTGGCCCGACGAGCGCCAAGCCGAAGAGACGGGGGCAGCACACCCGTCCCGGACCGTGGCCGGCGCTGCAGCGGGAGCTCCGCTGTACAACTCCCGCCCGCCCTCTGGGCGTGGGTGGTCTAGCGAGCTTCTGGCCATCGCTCGGACGGCCATTCCCGGTGTTTTTTTGTCGGTTTCGTGCGTGGTGTTTTTTCGCCAAATGATCAAGCATGCTCCTCGATGGTCCTCGCCGAAGGAAAAATGCGCACGTCCGAGCGATACCAAGGTTTCCTCTTCCATCTTCGCTCCTCCCTTTCGGGGAGGGGATTACCCCGCCCCCTGCCCCCTTCCCCTGGGTCTGGGAGGGGGGTCGCGGCCAGTGAGAGCGTCCAAGATGGCCTCGGCGAGCAGGCAACAATCATTGATTCGACACTGTTTTTGGCCACGTGTTCTGACCTCTTGGAAGGGGGGGGGCGCCAACTGACTACGGCCACTCCTGTGATCGATCCCCTCCAACTGGCCCGCGAGGCTCCCAAAGGTGCCTCAAGACGGCCCCAAGAGGTGCCCAAGAGGCCACACCCCCAGAAGGCCCCCAAGAGGCCCCCAAGAGGCCCCCAAGGGACCCCCAAGAGGTCCCCGAAGGCCCCCGGGACTGCCAAGAGACCCGCAAGACGCCCCAAGAGGGCTCCACGAAGCGTTCGAAAGACATCCGAAGGGACTCTGAGAGGCATCCAAGAAGCCTCTGGCCTTTCTGCATCCACTCCTCTTCCTCCTCCTCCTCCTCCTCCTCCTCCTCCTCCTTCTCCTACTGCTGCTGCTCCTCCTCCTCCTCCTCATCCTCATCCTCCTCGCCTCTTGGGGGCCTGCTGGCGCCTCCTGGGGGCCCCTCGGGGCCGAGGACTCGAAGTGTCCACTCGGCGGGTCCCCCATCTGGGGCCCCCTCTTGGAGCCGTCTTTGGGGCCTCTTCGGCGGTCTCGGGCGCCTCTTGGGCAGTTTTGGAAGCCTCGGGAGCCAGCCGAGCCGGCCGCGCAGGTCCACAGCTCGAGCCGAGTGCGCAACTATACAACACATCCACTGCCCGATCGCCTGGCCCATGGCCCAGGAGCGGTGGATGCGCATCCCTGTAAAGCGAAGCCAAGACGAGGACACATTCGGATGAGGATAAGAGAGCCCCTCTGAGATCCCGCGGCTGTGGAGGACGTCTCGGGCGTCGCGGCCTTCTCCGAGCATTCCCGAACGCTCACAGGGCGTTCTGGAACGCTCTGGAACGGATGCGTCCTTGTCCCAGCCCTCCTCCTCTTCTTCCTCCTCCTCCTGAAGTTTGCCTGATGATTGACCAAATCGCTTGATGAGAGACAACCGCCTTTGCAACACTGAGTACAGCATTATCGAAACAATGCAACAAAGCACAAACAAGTGAATGGAATATGGAGAATGTGACGGAGAATACAACTTGTCGAAACACTGTAACAAGGGCACAAGCATCTTTGAATTATGTGCCCACCCCCGCGGGCCGAGTGCACCCATTATGGTGGGGTGTCTCTTGCCCGGGGACGCGCCTGCCTTAAGGGCTGAAGGCACACGTGGTCCGTTCCGTCTCCAGCGTGACGCGGGGCAGGCCGACGTTGACACGAACGACACCTTTGTTTCCGACGTAGGGAAACACCACGTGTAAAGCGCTCTGTGAGTTTCCTCTTGACACTGCGTCTGGCTTCAAGCACGGTAGCTGTATTTGCCAGAAGATGTCGAGCCAGGCTACTAAACCCTGACTATCTGGCCTTCACAGAAGGGAGGAAACGACTCCTCCTCCTCCTCCTCCTCGATCCTCCTCCTCCTCGATCCTCGAATTCCCAGGATGAGCCGATATCCCCGAGGATCGACCCTGGGCAAGCCAACGAGAGGGCGTGTACACCGCTCCTCTGCCCGGGATGGGCCAGGCCCAGGCAGTGGACATGCATACAAGGCAGTTTTTAATACATAGGATGTTTTGAAACATTGGATTTCTAATACATGATTAATGTATGAATATATTTATGCATGAACTCATCGTTGTTATTGGTACTAAATCCCTGCATGTTTAATACATGATCCGCACGCGGAGCATGTATAAAAAACGGCACTGTAGATCCCGTCGCCCTGGCAGGGGTGAAGGAGGGGGCGCGCGCGAGCTGTACAACCCCAAGAGATCTGGGCATTGCAGTCTGTTCACGCCAGGGCTGGGAAGAGATACGGGCCTGACGCAGGATGGCACAACGACCCTGCGCGGTGGCTTACGCGGGCCGCCAGCGCTGCACGACGCAGCAGAAACGAGGGTGCTTCCGCACGACCTTTACGCGGGCAGCTTACGCGCCAATGTCGGCGAAGATGACACCGTTCTCTTCTGTCGCTCACCCGGCGCTTTCGCCTGGTCTCAGGCTCCGAGACCCTCACAGATCGATCTGGCTCTAGTCGGCGGCGAGCGAAGGGGGGAAGTGCGAAGGGGCGGGCCTTCTCAGAAGGCTCGGAAGTCCCCTGGCCTTCTGAGATGTTTTCGGGACCTTCCCCGAAGACACAGAACATGCTTCAGAAGGCGGGAGGCCTTCTGAGAAGCCCCGCCGCCTTCTGAGAAGGCCTTCGCCTGCTCCTTTCCCCCCCTCGCTCGCCGCCGACCTGGGGCTCCGGTCGTGATTTTCACCACGCCGCAAACCTTTCGAGGCGTCGGATCCCAGGGAACACATGGAAAGCCACAAGGTTTTTGTTATGCCCTGCTTGGGTGTTTTGGGCCCACTGGGGGAGAAGTCTTCTGGCCTCTCAGAACATGCTTCAGAAGGCGGGAGGCCTTCTGAGAAGCCCCGCCGCCTTCTGAGAAGGCCTTCGCCTGCTCCTTTCCCCCCCTCGCTCGCCGCCGACCTGGGGCTCCGGTCGTGATTTTCACCACGCCGCAAACCCTTCGAGGCGTCGGATCCCAGGGAACACATGGAAAGCCACAAGGTATTTTTTAAGCCTGCTTGGGTGTTTTGGGCCCACTGGGGGAGAAGTCTTGTGGCCTCTCAGAACATGCTTCAGAAGGCGGGAGGCCTTCTGAGAAGCCCCGCCGCCTTCTGAGAAGGCCTTCGCCTGCTCTTTCCCCCCCCTCGCTCGCCGCCGACCTGGGGCTCCGGTCGTGATTTTCACCACGCCGCAAACCCTTCGAGGCGTCGGATCCCAGGGAACACATGGAAAGCCACAAGGTTTTTGTTATGCCCTGCTTGGGTGTTTTGGGCCCACTGGGGGAGAAGTCTTGTGGCCTCTCAGAACATGCTTCAGAAGGCGGGAGGCCTTCTGAGAAGCCCCGCCGCCTTCTGAGAAGGCCTTCGCCTGCTCTTTTCCCCCCCTCGCTCGCCGCCGACCTGGGGCTCCGGTCGTGATTTTCACCACGCCGCAAACCCTTCGAGGCGTCGGATCCCAGGGAACACATGGAAAGCCACAAGGTTTTTGTTATGCCCTGCTTGGGTGTTTTGGGCCCACTGGGGGAGAAGTCTTGTGGCCTCTCAGAACATGCTTCAGAAGGCGGGAGGCCTTCTGAGAAGCCCCGCCGCCTTCTGAGAAGGCCTTCGCCTGCTCTTTCCCCCCCTCGCTCGCCGCCGACCTGGGGCTCCGGTCGTGATTTTCACCACGCCGCAAACCCTTCGAGGCGTCGGATCCCAGGGAACACATGGAAAGCCACAAGGTTTTTGTTATGCCCTGCTTGGGTGTTTTGGGCCCACTGGGGGAGAAGTCTTCTGGCCTCTCAGAATATGCTTCAGAAGGCGGGAGGCCTTCTGAGAAGCCCCGCCGCCTTCTGAGAAAGCCTTCGCCTGCTCCTTTCCCCCCCTCGCTCGCCGCCGACCTGGGGCTCCGGTCGTGATTTTCACCACGCCGCAAACCCTTCGAGGCGTCGGATCCCAGGGAACACATGGAAAGCCACAAGGTTTTTTTTATGCCTGCTTGGGTGTTTTGGGCCCACTGGGGGAGAAGTCTTCTGGCCTCTCAGAACATGCTTCAGAAGGCGGGAGGCCTTCTGAGAAGCCCCGCCGCCTTCTGAGAAGGCCTTCGCCTGCTCCTTTCCCCCCCTGGCTCGCCGCCGACCTGGGGCTCCGGTCGTGATTTTCACCACGCCGCAAACCCTTCGAGGCGTCGGATCCCAGGGAACACATGGAAAGCCACAAGGTTTTTGTTATGCCCTGCTTGGGTGTTTTGGGCCCACTGGGGGAGAAGTCTTCTGGCCTCTCAGAACATGCTTCAGAAGGCGGGAGGCCTTCTGAGAAGCCCCGCCGCCTTCTGAGAAGGCCTTCGCCTGCTCCTTTCCCCCCCTCGCTCGCCGCCGACCTGGGGCTCCGGTCGTGATTTTCACCACGCCGCAAACCCTTCGAGGCGTCGGATCCCAGGGAACACATGGAAAGC